CGGTTTTGCAGAGTTTGTAAACCAAATTGTTCTTAAACCGGACTGTTCTTAAACCAAGGTACCACTGTATATACAACCTAGAATAAGTCTGACTATAGCCCCTTTTAGAGATCTTCCCCTGTTCAATCAATGCATGGGTTGTGTTTTGCAGCCTTATGCATAGTTACTGTAAGGTCCGAAATGAACCCTGTACATATACTTGTATGTACAGAGTTCTCTCCATACATTCAAAGAAGTTTTCTAGTTGTGCATTGATGTCTCTTTTCAGACACTACAAGTATAGAGACTTAGAACAGAGCTTGTTCCAGCAGTGTTCAGTGCTGGCCCCAGAAGGGGGGAGAAATGGGGCGGGGGGCAAAGTATATTTCTAGGTGGGCAAGTTGTGTCTCACATGTTAAGATCTCTGAAAGAAAAATAGCAGTATATGTTAATGAGTGCAATTGGGTGGCTGGGGGCTCAGGTGAGAGGCAAGCTTCTTGTTTGAAGGGGTGCTTGCCCCCTTGTCTCCCTCTGATGCTCTCCCATGGTAGCACCACACCCTCATGGTTCTGGACAACAAGTGACTGAGAGAAAGTGACTTGGCAAGAGAGGCTGATTTGAGTGGCATTTGATTCCATGCCTGTTTTGCAAGATCTATAAATCGATGGGGCACTGGAGTAGTGACACATATGCTCGCTTCTATTCCTCTCTTTCGTAGGGCAAGACTACTGAAAATGTGGCATACAGATGTATGCATTCACACACGGTGTTATATTTTATGTGCAGTAGTGACCACATGCATCCTTGCTGCCCACTGCACATATAAGATTTCTAGCCATCAGTAATGTGAACGGGCCTTAAGCAAACAACTCTTCTATTTCAGAGAGTAGAACTAGAGGTTTGGTACTTAGTAATCAATGTTACCGCTCCGCAAGTTGCCTTATGACTAAAATTACTGCCCCATCCAGTAAGCCACCAAGCATATTTACTTACTCCTGCTGAATCTTGCACAAATGAATTTGGCATATTATAAACTAAAAACAATAGTACTTCATACTTTTCAAAAATATGGAAGCTGTTTTAAGTTATTTGATTGTCTGTATTAACTTCAGTGGTGTTTTGATTATAACCTGCCTTAGGATGCAGGTGGTGCTGTGGGTTAAACCACAGAGCCTAGGACTTGCTGATCAGGTCGGCGGTTCGAATCCCCGCGACGGGGTGAGCTCCCGTTGCTCGGTCCCTGCTCCTGCCAACCTAGCAGTTCGAAAGCACATCAAAGTGCAAGTAGTTAAATAGGTACCGCTCCAGTGGGAAGGTAAATGGTGTTTCTGTGCGCTGCTCTGGTTCGCCACATGCTGGCCACATGACCCGGAAGCTGTACGTCGGCTCCCTCGACCAATAAAGCGAGATGAGCACCGCAACCCCAGAGTCGGTCATGACTGGGTCCCTTTACCTTCACCTTTACCTTTACCTAGGACCTTAGAGTGAAGGGCAGGTAATAAATGAAAATAGAACAGTAACAATAACTAAAAACACTGAAGCTTGAAACCAGTCTACAAGATCATCAGAGCACATGGTGGCCAGTTTAGCATATACTATTGGCTCTTCACACAAGGTGGGGCCATTGTATGGGTGCATTGTCAAGGACAAGATGATACTGTTTAGTAAGTCAAAACAAGCTTATAATTTGAGTGATGTGCAGAAGTATCAGCTCCCCAAACAAAAATCAAGCATGCTTGTGGTTTAACAGTAGTGGTCTAATGAGGTTTATTTTCCCATTTTGATCAACCTATCAGGGGTCATTCAAGTGTTTATGCCATTATGCTAAATGTTATCCCTTGCCTTGTATTTAAAAAGTCTATTAGTAAATGTCTACTGCGCCTATGAAAATCATGCAGCACCTTTGAAAGAAATACTATACATGCACCTACAAAATTTGTTCCAAGTAAAAACAGACTTGGATATACTCTTCTGTCCATGAGCACAGCATGAGCAGAAAGATTTTATCTTTTAAAGATTATGCTGGCAGTCAAACAGTTATCAGCTGTGTTCAGAAAAATAAACTATTCTTCAGGGAATACAAAAAATATCCTTAAAATATGGGAGAGTAAACTAAGCAACAGCATAAATGCTAGCTAGAGATAAGGCAAATGTTTTTATTACCAGCATATCTTCTGTTTAACCTTTTTCTTACTAATTTCATTACTGTGCACATTCTTTCAAAATATCTGAATCTACACTGTAGTTGGGTCCAAAATAGTAATTTTCTCTCACAATACATGATGTCCTTTGTAGATAATTGGTTTCCCCATTCAACCCATTTTTAACGCCTGTCTTAAGGTTAGTTGCAAAATGCTTGAAGAAATCATCAAGTTTAATACTATCTATGGGAGCCTCATATCCATACTTGCCAAATCAAAGAATAATTTCATCTGTTATGAATAGGGAAAGTGAGTCTGAAACCTGCCTGCTTGTGGAACCTGCTTTCACTGAATTGCCTACAATTGTATCACCAGCACATTGAAAGCAGCCTTTAGTAATCTTGATTTTACTGAGTACAAGTTTTATATCCTACTTGGCACATTTTAAAATATTGGCTTCTTCTTCTTGGATATCACCTCATGATTTCAACAGTAATATAACTTTAAATCCACACAACAGAAAGGGGTCTATATTTTAATGGTGTGTGTGTATATGCATGCAAAACAAATGTTCCTGCACACATCTATCTAGCGAAGTACATTGGGTCATGAACCCATCATAAGGAGTAGACTGCATGAGTTCTCGGATATCTTGCTGTAAAAAAGATGAGTAATTTCTTGGACTTCAACCCATTTATTGTCTGAAAGCAAAGGGAACTCTTCAGGAAATGAATGTTTCTTCCTGGAAATGGAATCAGACTTAAATCATATTAATTACTCAGAATAATAAAATATAAATCACGATGCAGAAACGGTGATTTTAACAATTGCCAATTCTTCATATCTTTTGGAAATGATTAGCGTGGTGGCATTGATAGTACACTGAAAAGTAGTGAGGATAATTTTGTTGTTCAAATATTCTTCATCATCATTGATTATGCTTTGCATTCCAGTGAACTACAAGAACCCTATATTTTTTCCTGTAATGACTTATATTCTTGTGTAGCATTTTATTTTTATTTTATATTACAGTGGTACCTCGGTTTATGAACTTAATCGGTTCCGGAAGTCCGTTCTTAAACTGAAACCATTCTTAAACCGAGGTGCACTTTCCCTAATGAGGCCTCCCGCTGCCAGTGCCCTTCCACCGTTCGGATTCCGTTCTTAGACCGAGGTAAAGTTTGCAAACCGTTATGTTTGCAAACTTCCTGTTATGTACTGAAGTTCTCACCCTGGGCCAGCAGAGGGGGGGGGATACTGTAGATAGTTTTCACTCAGGTCCACATATGCAAATAAGGAATTGAAAGTGACGTTCAGTGATTGGATAGTTACAGAAAGTTGTTACTGTTGCGTTGTAGTGGAGCTCTATATAAGAAGGCTGGCTGAACCCTTCAGTTCAGTTCTGTTCTGGCCTGTGAATAAACAAGAGCTGTTTGAAGAATCACTGTGTCATCTGATATGTTCACCCACAACTTAACACTTCCGGTTTTGCGGAGTTTGTAAACCGAATCGTTCGTAAACAGGGCTGCTCTTAAACTGAGGTACCACTGTACATTTATATACCAACTTTATCTTCCAAAGATCTCAAGTAGAACAAGAAAGGTCACTGAATATTTAGGCATCTGGATTCTTTTTTATCAAAATAGAGGCAAACATTGGGATTTTAGATTCAGCAGTATTATTTTTACTTTTTGCACATGCTTGAATTTGTAGTCATTTGGTATCAGCTCCACTCCTATTGGTAGAATCTGCCAGTCTCTGCTGCCTGCCCTGTCCCTACCTTTACCTTTGGAAGTGTGGGCCAAACCAGACATTTGCTTAATACGTAGCAGGTAGCCATATATTTTGTTTCCCCTTAATTACAGGCAAGCAGGATGAATATTACTGGGAAGGCAGTGTGCAGGGAGGGGAGGTTGAGTTCTTCTCTGACTGTGCATGTGAACAGGTAGTCCTCCGTCCTATCACAGTGGGGGAATGAAGAGATAAGCCTGCCCTCCACACATGCTGCCTTTCCACTAAGAACCCACCTTAAATATATGCCTGTAATGAAGGGAGCTTCAGCAGCAATCACCTGTGCATTCTTTTCTATATCAAAAAGACTTGTATGCCTTCTGGTGGTCCTGCATATTAGAGTTGCTGCAACGGAATCCTTGATCCAGACCTTGTGCAGAGTAGAAATGAATTTGCTTGCCATCATAAAAAAGAGTTTCAAAGCTTTACTGCAGAAGAATCTTAAAACAAATAAACATTACAAGATACAAAACAACACATTCCTCTTTAACAAGCAAGCCATGTCATCCAGTCTTGTTTTTAATCCTTAGTGTATTTCAGTGAACTTTGCTCTCTCTGATCCCAAAGCAGATGCATTGAGTTGCCCCCAACATGGGGGGATGGGGGACACACATCGTATGTGCATGATGTCACATGTGTGCCACCGCCCCAACCTGTCCAGGCCAACTCAGCCTCCCACCCCTACACTTTGTGAAAGGTAGCTAGCCAATATATTTTGCACAGGGGAAAACCCGCCCTGTTACATTTTGAAAACATGGGAGGTGTTTTTTACATAATATCCTGTTGACATACGCTTTGCAGAGCTATCCTGTGACACTACTTAAATTTTTGGTGTTGTGTAACAACTACTGTCTTACTGGTGGCTCTTTGATAAGCTTGTGTACTTCATTTTCAGGGATTTTAAATTCAACATTTGTGTGACTTGTTATACAGGTGGCCACAGCATAAAGCATTGTGTTCATTCATCTGTTGTTGTTTTTTTACATTATTGTTGTAATGCCATTTTGCAATGGGGTATTGCAATCTTATAACAGGAGCTGAGGTGATGTCCTCTAGCACTCCAAATTTAAAGGTCTAAATTGCCAATAAGTTTATTGTGATGTAATGTGTCAGTGTGTCTGGCTGTTAACCAGAATGTTGGTGGTTTGAGCCCACCCAGGGGCAGCTGTGGGCCGGATTCTTACATTGCAGGGGGTTGGGCTAGAATGATCCTTGAGGTATCTTCCATCTCTACAAAAACCCCTGCAAAAAAGCAGAGGTCAAGCTGATCTCTCCTTACTTACCGTAATTGTTCAGCCCTCCTATTACCAATACAGCCTCAAAGGCTTTGACATGGAAAAGCTGAAATGTAAGTGTAAATGTCATTTGTACAGCACCATTTAGCAGCATTGCGGTGTTCTTTCTGTGGTTTTCAAACTTTATGGATAATTCACTTGTATCTAGTCTGGGTCTGGATATTCTGTTCTGGATGTTCCCGTCTTAAGTGTGTTGATTTGAGCTCTGGGTCATTGGGGATCTCAATCAGAACAATAGTTCCTGAGTTCTTACACTTGTAAGTCTTGATGTCATTTAGATTGTAGTTCTTGCAGTGTCCTGAACTTGCAGGACAGAATTCAGGATTTCTAAATTGATTATGGGATTGTTTTCCTGAAAAAAAGTTGTGTGAGGAAACTAGATTTATTTATGTTTTCTCCTTTAACTTAAAAGTTAGGTGCACTTCTGAATCAGTGCATACAAAATTTTAAAATGGAAGATAGATCAGCTAGGCTTCTAGGCCAAGTGAAAGAAAATTATATCGTATTTGCATCTCAGGTTTTAAAACATAGTATTATCAGCTACTTAAAACAGCATACTTTTTGTTGCAGTCTTGAACGTTTGAACTCATTCTTAATGGTTTATACTATAACAACTATTCAATAATTACTCTTCATTAAAAAATGGCCATGGTGTCACATTCCCTGAAAATTATACATGCTTTATGGCTCCCAAGTAAGAGATAGCTCAGGTTGAGGCATAGTGGATAAGCAGGCATAATTGGAAGAATGCTGACTCAGTTCCAACTGGGATCTCACTGCTTAGTTAACCATAATTTGCATCCTCCCTGCTGGATTAATAATTAGCTTAGAATGAGCAATGGAGATCAGATAGCAGCCATAGCAGCAATTTAAGGAAATGTTTAAACAGCATTAACAATCATTTATTTTGCCATTATTCATGGAATGATAATAATAATAGATTGATTTTCTGCTAGTGTTATGATACATTGAAATATTTAACATGATTCTCATATATCCTTTACAAATTATTTGGCATTATATATTGTTGAAATATTACATGTCACACGAGCTGGGGGAAATTGTCCTATCAGTAAAAATTCAAGACTTTGCTCATAGCAGTAGACAGCAAAACTACAATGAATTCCTTAGATCATAGAACTGTACAGTTGGAAGGGTAATCTAGTCCAACCCCCCGCAATGCAGGAATCTTTTGCCCGACACTAGGCTTGGACCCATGACCCTGAGATTAAGAGTCTCATGCTCAGTGTTAGAAACTGAGATATGAAAGCTAGGAGCTAAATGGCACCTTAAACCTAGGTTATGGGCACCACAGCGGAGTGTCTAGGCGTGCTTTTTTTATAACAACCTGAAAATGAATGAACTGCAGCTAAAATCATATGTTCATTTCTCACATGGTCTAGTCCTCATCTGAAGACTGCAAAAACAAACAAACCCCAAAGCCATACTTCCTCTGCCCACCCCCCAGTCTTCTTATTGAGGGTCCCTTCTCCAGTCTTCAGAGATTGGCTGGAAGTGTGGAGGCAGGAAATAAGTCCGCCTTTCCTTCCAGCAGTGGCAGTTTTAATCTGAAATCTTAGCTGCAGAACTGCACCCAGAGCTCAGAAACTGTACACATTAATGTAATTCCCTGTCGCAAAACACACCTAGAACAATGGGGAGTTTCGAACGCTGCTCATGGTCTACCAACTGAGCTATCCCAGCAGTTAAGCCTTGTGAGACCTGATATTCTCAGGCAGTCTCCCATCCAAGTACTAACCAGGCCTGACCCTGCTTCGCTTGTGAGATCATCTGGAGTTTGTTGATCTCACCATAGACAAGTCACTCACACGTACGGATGGTGGAGAAATACAATTCAGTTCACATTTAAAGGCAAACCTGACAAAATGGCACTTTCTGAAATGGCGGGCCAAAACATAGCCATCTTTCAAAACACACTCGCAAAGTAATGTGTACAAAATTGCATATACACAGGTAAACAATGCATCAACATGTGTACATTCATGAAAGAAAACATATAAAATGCATTATATTAGGGGAAATGGTTTTTCAAAAATGCATTTAATTGACAAAATTACATATACAAATATATGTATATCAGGAAAAAATGCTGATGAATTCTCCTGACTGAAAATCTCAAACTGATGTGTAAATGTGGAGCTCCAAATTTAAGAGTGAAAAAAAGAGAAACCGAGATAAACTTAAAATGACAGATTAGTCCATCCATCCGTGTATTTTATAAATGTAAAAAAAACCTTTTGTACACTATGTCCTAGATGTTAGCTTAGCAAACACATACTCATCAGTTCTATATTTGCTGAAATAACAGGGAAGTGGGGGTAGGTAGCAGTTTCAGGGGAGAACTGATGAGTGACAGTGGTGCTTAACCTTTTCACATCTAGAGTCTTCTCTGCACTTGCCTACTCTGGGCCATTATTGTTCTGCAGAGGTAGCTGATGAGACTTTGCTGTTGTTTAGTTGTTTAGTTGTGTCCGACTCTTCGTGACCCCATGGACCAGAGCACGCCAGGCACTCCTGTCTTCCACTGCCTTCCGCAGTTTGGTCAAACTCATGTTAGTATCTTCAAGAACATTGTCCAACCATCTCGTCCTCTGTTGTCCCTTTCTCCTTGTGCCCTCACTACAAGGAGTTAAGCACTCCTCTTCACCAATTCTCCCCTGAAAGTGCCTCAACTTTCTTCAACCTACTTACTTGCTATATCGTATTGCTATGCAGTCAAAAGGAAGCCATCCATGCACAAGAAGAAGATGTATCAGCAACCTTGGGAGAAACCCAAATTTTCTAGGTGTACAAAAATTAGGAATCCTAAAGAGGGGGAGTTCCAGAAAACAGGCCAGTGGGAGGAAATGGAAAATCAGACAAAGGGGTGAATAAAATACAGTATGCTGAAATATGGTATGGCTGACTGGCTAGGACCCTGAACTGGAGCACTCTGCGCTGCAGTAATTTTTTTTGCAGGTTTCACTTGGTTAGCATTACATAGCAAATGTGACTTGGAATCCCATGTTTCCCTTATAACTTGTATTTCTATCCTAAGGGCCTTAATCTTGCTATTTAATCTAGAATTGTTGGGTTCTCTTCCTGTGCACGGTCTGTTTGAATGGATAAGTGTCTCTGTGTGTGTTTCCATTCTGAATATTTAATTTTGAATTAATATATTTTATACATCCAGAAACTATGGAGCATAATTTTCCTTGGCAGAGGAATAGACATTCCATAAAGGAATTCCACTGCTGTGGCTTTTAGGAAATAAAGTAAAATATGCATGTGGCCCTAAAACAAATTACAGTTGTTGCTGAGCTGCGGTTTCATCTATTTATTTTATATCTAAAACTGTGTTGTTGCTTCAGTGGATTTCCCTCGGAAAAGCAAGAATCAGTAATTAAGACTCATGCCAGCTATAACAAGACTAGCAATTTCAACTGGAAACCCCCACTGCTCCTGCTATTGTCATAGTATTTTAAGCTATATTACAAACAACTCTGGGATGAGCTGCACACCATCAGACCGGGAACACATACTGTACTTACCATTGTCTCTATTTATTTATTTTATGTTTTTGCTGCTTTAAAATCCCCCCCCCATTATTTTATGACAACATTTAATACTGAAGACCTTCTAATAAAGCATTTCTGCTCTACTTGGTGGCCAGGATGTGTTTATCTAAACAGGCCTAGACATGGTGCTCTTTGTTCACGCTTTCTCTCTTTGTTGCAAAATATATGAGTCTGTTAGCACTTGTCCTACCCAGGTAGGTTGGGAACTATTGCAGCTGCAGTACAACTGCTAATTGCACTTTAGAGGTTATTGTAATTATTACTACTTATAAGATTTCTTACCCAGCCCTTACCACAAGGTCCCACAGCAGGTTATAACTATAAAATATGCAATTATGACAACAAGTAAAACCATGGCAATTATAAAACTCATAAAACTGTTCTAGATGGAACAGAACAGTAGAACTTTAGCAGAAGAGGTGGGTCCCACAAAACAAAATGTCTTAACTGTTGAAAGCCAGAGTAAAGAGGGGCATCTTCAGCTTACAGCAGAAGTTGCATAATGAAGATAGTGGACATCTCTCTGTGGGGAGAGAAAATTATATCCCCCACAACTACTTTCTAGAAATGGCCCTGGAGATAGAAGTGGAACCACTGAAGTACAGTCCCTCCCCCGCCCACCTCCCTGAGCCTGTCAAGGATTCCATGGTGAATAGTACTGGAATCTGCAAAAAGTTCAAGGAGAATGTGCAGGACCACACTCCCACTGTCCCTTCTCCCAAGTACCATCATCCAGAGTGACTAAAGATAGTTTCATTGTTATGGCTAAGCCTGAAGGCAGATTGATATGGATTCAGATAATCATTTTCTGCCAAACATGCCTCAAGCTGGGCTTCCACTTTGTTCTCAAGCATCTCCCCACAAAAGGGGGGGGGTCATATTCATCACTGCATGATAGTTGTTCAATACATCTGGGTCCAAGGAAGTTCTCTTAAGGAAAGGACACACCACCCACCCCTTCAAAGCAGATAGTACCTCCCCAATGAAGCATTAATCATTCCCTGGACCCTCCCACTCAGTCCCCTTAGGCTAGCTGTAAGAAGCCCAGATGGGCAACGATCAAAATGTTAAGTCGACAGCTGCACTTCTCAAGCAGCTTCCTAAGGTCTCAGTAGCTGAAACTGATTCAGTATTAATGGATTCCTTCATTGGACTTGCTCTAACTGTAGCATCCAACTCAACAGAAGCATCAGCTGGAGAATTCCGTATAGCATTCAGGAATCCACCTGTTTCCATGCGTCTTTGCAGGCATATCATCTCAATATGCCCCCCACCCCTGCAGAGTAGGAATAGTCCTGTTCAGCCCAAACCTCACCAGTGAGTGATCCCCAAAGAGGCAGGAAGGTGTGGGCTGGGTGAGAACAGACTGGGTTTGGTGGAGCAGTGCTCCATTTGCTCTAATGCAGGCATGGCCAAACTTGGCCCTCCAGCTGTTTTTGGGACTACAATTCCCATCATCCCTGGCCACTGGTCCTGTTAGCTAGGGATGATGGGAGTTGTAGTCCCAAAACAGCTGGAGGGCCAAGATTGGCCATGCCTGGTCTAATGCAACAGCCTCTAATGCTGCTCATGGTTCTTTGGGCAGTACTCAACAAAGTTTTGCTAAGGGTAAATCCATTGACGTTCATGGACCTAATTTAGTCATGTTCATCTGCACTGCGTAAAACCTAGTTGAATACCACTCTTTATCTTTAAACTGAATTTGGACTGGGCAGCCTTTGAAATATAGTGCTGACTTCTGTAGAGCAGGGCATATTGTCACCTTAGTGCCACATTACAGATTCCTCTCAGTGGTTTATGGCTTCTCATGTTAACTCAATAGTGCAGGAAGGAGTCATGCAGCAGTATCTCCTAGGCTGCTCAGAAAATATCAAAATGGACCCTTGATCTACAACCAAGCCCAAACTGTGCAAGTCTAGAGACATGGGAAAAAAATCACATTTAATACAGTGATTCATTGATAACCAACTTACAGATCTATCATTTGTCTGCAGTAGATGGTTACAGCCCACAAAACTGTTTAGAGCAATCAAATAAGAACATTGAGATGTAACGTTCGGATTCTTTTTTACTTTTTGGCAGTTTGAGCCACACCCTGACCCATTAAATAATTACAGACAATTGTTTCAAAACTGCCTCTTTGTAGAGAAGTATGCGAATCTAAAGTATTTGAGATGTAATGAAATGTTGGAGCCACATAGGTGTATTGTAACTCTTTGACCAAACAACAAGAACTTGTGGACAGAAAAATTCTTTTAGCAAATGCAAAATTAAGACTCTAATCATATACAGTTACCTGGAGTAAGCTCCATTGAATATGGGAGGGGTTGTTCTGAGTAAACATGCTACAAATATGCATTTTGTAATGGCACTGCAGTTTTATTCAAAATTTCTACCATTTAAGTCCAACACTATTGAAATATTTTTCAAATTTAGTCTTGGCAATCAACTATCCTTAATAATTATGGCACTTCTAGAAAGTTACTTTGTGCCAGCCCATTTTAGAACCATTTTATTTCTGATTTATTTCTAATTTTTTTTGGTGTGGGTTTATAACACTGCCTTGTTATAAACCAACTGTACATTTAAAACAACAACAACCCACCAACAGGGAAAATAGTGGAATGTGTCATAAAAGTGTTGTTTTAAAAATTAAGACATTATAAAAATATTTTTTTCAAGGTGCAAATGCTGTCAGTTAACAATTTGACGGATTAATCCAAATACATCTGAAAGACCCACAGATATATGCTACAGATGTTGCCACCAGGAGGGGGCTTAAATGTATCTACTTAAGACAAACATTTTTGTGAGCCAAAAATCTATATGCTATATTTTTCCTTATTTGAAGATACATTAAAATAAACATGCATTGTCCTGTATATTTTGTTATCAAAGAAGCCTCTGGCTTTTTAGTTGAAACTTCAAATACTGTGCTTCTCAGTTTCTTGGAAATCTTACCGCCTTCATACGTGCATAGTTAGAAGCTAGAACAGATCTAGTAAAGAGGGTTTATTCTTGCATTGTCAGGAGATTCCACATTCAAATAAACACTGGTTTTTGTTTGCTTGTTTTTATGGTGGAAAAGAAGAGGTTAATTGAGAAATGAACATACAAGCCCAAAACACATCCCCAAACACTCCATGGATTCAGACTGAGGAGGAAAGCTTTTTCCAAATCCACTTTTTGTCTTCAAAGCATCTACTTTTGAGTGCTGCCCTTATACGTTATAGTATCCCAGTGT